CGAAAGCAATATATATATACATATACATATATATATATATATATATATATATATATATATATATATATATATACATATATATAGAGAGAGAGAGAGAAAGAGAGAGAGTGAGAGAGAGGGTGAGAGAGACAGACAGAGATTGTTAATTTTTCTTACTTTATGCAGACACTGGGACGTTTTTTTAGTGATAGGTTCTGTTGAGGTGCCTACTGTATGTTAACAACACAAGAATCTACTTAACATTGGCCAACCCCAGCCTTGATAAGTACATTTAAGGCAGCCAGTGTTTCCCACCAGTCACACCCCGCCTCACTTAACCTTCTCTTGAGCATCGTGAGACGACAAGGAAGTCTGTGTGACACAGTAATAAAAGAATCCAAGTATAAGCAGATGATAATTTATGCGATTTATTACAAGGAGAACAGTTTCTAACGATACATTTTGTAGGCCTCATCAAATCTTAAACTTTAATTAAATCTTTGAACTTTCAACATCAAAAAATAAAAACCGGTAAAAAAAAAAAAAAAAATGTATTGTATTGTTATATGATGCTCGAAAACATATTGCACCAAAAATATCTAGAGTATATTTTCCAGTCGGTGATATCATGAACATCCCTCTTAATCTTCATTTTCGCTCCTCCCTCCGCTAATATAACTTTTTTTTCATAATATTTATAACTGTATTACAACATAAACACATCAAGTAATTGTGTACACAGAAATATAATCACATGAAAACGCTTGTTGAGAAACTACCCACTGGTAGAACTCTAATAGAACTTTTTAAATAAATTATTACTCTTACAGACTTTTTTTAAAGGAATTAAGTTTAACCAGAACTTGAAAGAAAAAAAAAACATTTATTTTTAAAACGGTTTGGTATCACTGGAATTTTTACTATCGATAGTTTCTCAGTTCTTTTGAAACTATATTTTTCTTTTCCATAAGTCTAGGTAAAAGTCTAAAAACAAACCATTATTTAAAAGTTCCGTCGATTTCGCTAAAAATTCGTTCTAAATAAAGACTTTTATTCATAGTTACTCAAACAATCGACACACTAGAATCATGTGGAATTCATTTGGGACAAATTACAACTCTAACCTAAGCTCAATCACTGTTTATTTTTTAATTTAACATGAACTTAAATTAATACAAGTGAAACTTGTACCATAAATTCGGTAATTTATTACAAACAAGTTCCTTAAAACTTTTATTTTAAGAATTATTTTCCTAAAAAGTTTCAAAGAAACTGTTATAATTTAATTTTTTTTAAGTTCTATTAACGTTTCAATATTTGATTTTAACATTTATAAAGTTCACTATTTTACATATATAAATTAATTTTAATGAATTTCTGTTAAAACTCATATATCCCTTCAATTCAGAGTATATACAGTGTCTTTTCAAATTCAGGAGAACGATCATAACGGCAGCGGGATGTTTGAAAATTAATTTTCTCTAAATAAGGTAATATAGTAGCTTTTAACAAAAAGAAAAAAAGGATTTTTGACTAAGAATTTGAACTAGCAGTAATTTTTTATAAAGTTTTGTTGATTTTTTTTTAAAGACTAGTAATGTTAGATTCAGTTGCCAATTAGTATTAATTTACATTTTAATTAACCTTCTGTTTCTGATAAGTCAAATGGCTCTTTTCCAAGTATTTTGTACAGACATCTACCTGCTCGATATCATTCTCGAACTCACAGTTTCAGACCAATTTAGACAACATTCCTTTTAGAGGTTCCAATAGTAGACCCAACCTAAGGTCGAATTCCTAGATACCTTCGTGAATGAACCAGTCAATTTGTCAGGCTATCTTCAATCTTAAGTGAAACGTCGGATCGAACAGCTTCCATAGAGAGGAGGACTAGCCTATATCTACGAGATAGGATCTGCCCTACACCTGTGGTGATATACACGATTTGTCAATCAGGGGGCAGGTATATGCCAAGGTGACGCATACATGAATATAACATCTAGTCCTTTCTCTTATGGCAAATACGGCCCGGACTAACTAAGCTAGCTCCCGATGGTACGTGAGCCTCCTCCTAAACAGCCCTATCTTTTAGCCACGTCATCTTGATCCATCTTTTACGTCGTCTAATGTCCCGGCTAATTTGATCAAAACCCTTCAGGATTGGATTCTCTTAAAACATTTCGTAAAAAGTAATATCAAATCAGCTCAAAATAACAAAAAGTACTTCTAGCTATGTTAGAAGTATAAGCTATTAAAACTTTCTTTTGGCTGCGAAATTAAAAAAATAAGTTTTCTTTTTTTTTCTATGTGAACTTATTTCTTACTACAAACATTTGTTTCTCAAGTCAATTATTCCGTAAAGTATTATAATTTGGAATTATTTAGACCCACACCGGGGACATGGTACAATGCCTTGAAACCTATCTAAGTATTGCTACCAATTGTAAAGATTAGGGAATTCGTTCAACATGCGCTAAATATTGTAAACCTCTTAAATGTGTTCAAATCGAGAAACTTATTTAAGATTATTGTGTTAAATATGGCTGCTAGCACACTTGCCGACTGGCGTCGGTTAAAACTGGTATTGAATTCTTAAATGTGCGGGAAGGTTATTCTCTCATGTTTATTGCATTTGCTTTAAGTGGAGTGGAATGTAAGAAAATAAAGAATTTCTGAAAACATTGGATAAAATAACATAATAATTTTTTTTCGTAGTTACGTAAAACATGATGAAGTTCGAAGTGTATAATGTTGTTATTTTTAAATTTCCTTATAAATTTATGGTTGTCAAAATTCATGTATTAAACAGTATTCAAATAAAAAAAAAATAATTCCTTGAAAATTATTAAGAAAATAAAATAGATTTTTTTAAAAACACAAAAATGGGGAAATTCGAGATTTTGTTCAGTTAGGTACACACACACACACACACACACACATATTTTTTTTTGGTTGGTCATGTAAACAGAGTAACAGGTGTCAAGGTTTTCACTTTTATATAATTTATGTAAATCCCAATTTGATATTTTTCAAAACATGCGTGCTCTGCTTAATCATCGGCAGAAGTTTTCCTTGTCACTGCCAAATCCGGAGCTTGTTTTAGCTGTAGTGGTTTAGTGGTGGAGTGTATATCAATGGATCGCGTGAATTTTATGATTTATGGCCCTCCGAATCGGATATCGATAATTTGTTGCTAATTAGGTCGATATGTTGCAAAACAGAACCTCATCACTATACAATGACCCATATTTCTTATAAGTTGGAGGGAGCTACCCAAATGTTTTTGTTAATGTTAATGTTTGCCCTTCCGATGTCTTCTGCTTAGGCATTACATAGCTTATTTGTTTTCAGTCAAGGTGCGTAATTAGTGTAGCCCAAAATTGGTCTTGGTCTTGCACTTTTCAAGACCAAGACCAAGGCCGCCTAACTGTTGCAAGACCAAGATCAGGACTGGTAAAAAAAATCGTTTGTTTAAAATAAAAATTAAGGCAAAATAGTTACTAATACTTGACAATCTTAGTTACTATATGTTAATAATTGGTATCACAAATACACTTTTGTATTTAACTCCTCTAATTTTTCATTCGGGCTTACTTAGGTTTCTCCTATCTAAAAAATTACCGTAATATCTCGATGGTAATAAGCTCATAAGTAACTGCAAGACTGTTGCGAGACTCTTGCGCACCAAGACCAAGACTATGATCAAGACAGAGTTTGCAAGACCAAGACTCGTCTCGGTCTCTCTTTTGGGCAACACTATGCATAATGGTATGTGCACACATTTCCATGTAATTTGTCAGCACAGTTTTACAGCTTTTTTTTTTTTTTTTTTTTTTTTTTTTAAATTCTTGGCAAGAGAACATTATTCAGTTGGCTTATGCATTCTGAAGTTTTGACGTGCGGCATTCCAAATCGTCTTTGAATCATAAATGAATCGCACATTTTAATCCTATTTTTTAACATCTTTTTAACAATCCAGTTCAGTTCTTATCAAAATAAAACTGAGAACGAAAATTAATAACTCCATATGAAGCAAAATCTTGGCAGGTACCTGTCGTGCTTTTAATCGTGTTGTGGATAAATACTATTATAGTATGTAAGTCTACAATCGTAATTCTATTTACATAGAATAAAAAAGAGCGTGCTATAAACATAATGATTTCAGAAACATAGATATTATTTATTGTAAAGCTCCTCTCTGAATCCCGTTTTAGATAGTACTCACTGTTATTAAAATCTGAAACCTTGCGTTGAAAAATAATAGATATTTAAATTTTCTATTGGTCCTACGTATACCAAATTTATAAAAAATATATATGTAACGTATATATATATTTTTTTTTTTTTGAGATGATCTAAATAATCGATTAGATGCAAAATTGATATATGTAAAAAACTGAAGATTTGGTTAAGGGCGTCCTATAAAGTGTTTCCCTAGATAGATAGATAGAATAATAATAATAAGATATAACTTCGCGAGGAATAACAATTTACTTTTTCTGTTACAATTTACAAGTTATTAAAATCGTTATTGTAATTGGCTAATGTAGATGAAGAAGTTTTCATTATTTAATTTATATATATCCTCAAACATACAAGAAAGTGATACAATATAATAGTCTTCTTTTATCTAGTTTTTTTTGTTTTGCTTTTTAGAGTTTAGAGTTTATTAACCAATATTTACAACTTGGTCCGACCAGATGTCAACATCTATCGGTCGGTGTTTTCAAGGTAATGGGCTAAATCCTTTGGCGGTTTTATAAATAATTCAAAAAGAATAAAAAGTAAAAAATGATCAAAATTGTCATTTCGTTATTATTGAAAGACCCTCAAAAATCCTACATTGGCTGATTTGAATATCCTTTTAGCCTACTCTAAATAATAAAAACTAATTACCGTCACTAACTAGAGAAACGCTAGAGATCTAGACATTGAGGACATCTCTACCCTTTAATAGAAAAAAAAAATAAAAAAAAAGGATTCAATAACTCACGTCATTCGGTCCGTAGAGGAACTTTGATTTACAACAATGCGATATAAGGAGTTTCGCTATGACCTCCGCACGCCCACGAAGTTAGCTCTGAAATAATTAATCGTCTCCTAGAGATGGAGGGATCCCAATTAGCCATGAGCTGGTATGGTAGTGACCCAGTAACCGATTGAGTAACTACACGGTAACCGGTTACATTCCACTTGTCACCGCGTTGATAGAAACTGGCATTCTCCGAAGTCAGACTTGTCGTTGAGGCGGAGCTGTGAAATAAATATTAAATAGCTGCTTGGATGGTTTATAGCAGGGGACACAATACCTTCACTCGGAGGCGTATCTTCTCCTCTAATCGATAATTGGCAACGGTAATTGGTATCGATATTCTGCCTCGGTAATCGGCGATGTCCCCGTGACGTAAGAGTGCCTCACCGCCGACCGACGGAGTGCGTAGACTCTGGTGCAATTAAACTCCTTTGTTGCGAATCCTCTTCGCCTTTCGCAACCTGTTCCTAGGATCTGGGGCTATTAAGACTAAGTGTCAACTCATATAAATACAAAATCCAGTCTACCTCTGCTTTCTTGTCAGAGCGTTAGATTTATCTTACATAAGTGCTGAAGATTTATTTCAATATTGTTTGAACAATTTTTTTAAACTATGAAGCAATCACATAATTTCGAACAGTTTTCAGTAGTTTAGACAACGTTGGAATCTATTTTGGAGACACTTGAACGAGATTTTTTAATCTTATGAGAAATTACCTACCTTAGGTAATTCCATAGCAGCTTTAAAAAATGGCAGACATAAAAACTTTTGATACTCAAGTCGGTAAATTTTTTATTATGTAAGGCGTTTCTCTTAAATAAATAAAGCTGCAGCGGTATATATATAGTTATTTTTTTAGTTTTGTTTTCAATTGAGACCAATTGCCGAAACTGATAAAAATTTGGTTTCATTGGCCGTGGTTTTCGACCAGATCACTTAATCATATTTTAACTTATTCGACGCACAATTTAAAGCTTCGATGAACCGTTCTGGAATTATATAAGAAAAAAAAAAAAATCTGACATATTTTGCTGTCAAAAGTTTTCTGTTTTAGAACATTTTTTTTTAACGTTTGATCACATATATTCAAGTTAAAAAAAAAAAAAAATTGTACCACATTTTCCCCAATATGATTCCCGTCTCGATCCTCGAATCGTTGGTATTATATTTTTTAAATCAGCCATAATTTTTAAAAGTAAAAAAATGTACTTAAATCTTCTCCTGCTATGAGTACACTTTCTAGGTTCTGACTTCAGAGCTGTCTCTCAATCTTTTGAAATAAATTTTCTATATTTTGGAAAGCATTATTTCATACTGAATATCGTTTCCAATTCAAAATAAGGCTGCTAAATTTGGATAAGTCAAGAATATCCTATTATTATGTTAGCAACGATAATAGCTAATATAGATCTTTAATTTTGGTGCAAGAATTAAAAATTACATATTTTGTTTAGTATTATTAAAATTCTTTAAGAGAAATGTTGAAATGATTTTCGTACATGATTACTCCCAAATGCCTTATTATCTTGTTCCTTGAATATGTTCCTTATTCATCAAGGCGGGAATCCCAACCGACATAGAAGTGTTTATCTAAATTATATATTATTTTATAATAACAATCAGAAGAATCTTGGAATATCCCGAGGACAAAAATACCGATGATAGACCAACATCCGCAGTACAAAGAAGACTTCAGGTAGTGCCCCAGACCTCCAATCTCGGTCTCAGTATAAATGGGCCCTAATTACTCCGGTGTCTTTGTGGACTCGGATGAAAAAGAAACCGATGAACAAAAAAATGGTGAACTGCAGACACCCAACTCCTATTTCTCAGGTCATATACGCGCCGAGGAGGTTGGTAGACTACCTAGCCGGCAGAGTGACAAAGACAAACCCCAAAGGCACTGCATTAAGGGTGGCCGAGGAAATTGCGACGAGCGTTGGGGTCATTAGAGTGGCGACTGTCTGCGTCAATGGGCGTTCGCTAACGGTCATCTTTCGCTCCATTGCGAAAATTGAGCAATTTTAAAATGAAATAATATAAAGAAAATATTCCCTTGATCTCTCAAAAGTTGAAGTAAATGTCTTTTAAACGCATTATTCTCTCTTGACTTTCTACCATTTAAGAACAACAAATATTGGCGTTTCTAAGAAACACATTCCCTTGTGTAAGTAAAATTATTGAATGGAATTAGATAAAATCGCTATATGACCATTTTGATACCAATCCGCATCATCTCTCAAAGTTCTATTAAAACTGGATGAAGGGATATAGATGATGTGCCTGTTGCATTGATACCACTGTTAACAGGCAGATACGGAACCAAAATTTTGGCTTAATGTTTAAAACGTAAAAAACTGATGGAAATTTTCGAATATGAGCACAAAATTTTTGTTTAACGTCAAAATATTAAAAATAGTTCAGCAAGCTAATAATGATAAAATTTTGTTGGTCGAGTCCTTCGATAATTACGTCATATACAGCCTTCCTCTACTTTCAGTAAAATTACTGGTTAATGCATTAAGGCAATCTATATGAATATACTTCAGTCAATGGACCGCAACATCGAAGTGCGGACCAAATTAGTATATATTAATTTTCAATTTCGCTAATTAGCCCAAAAGAGAGTAGGTTTTTTTTTTTTTAGTTAGAAGTGCATCAAAGGAAATGCAGTTGGTTTGCCGATCTGTTTACTCTTTCTTGTTATCTCGTCTAAATGTTTGAAGGATAAATAAGACTGAGAATGTCACTCTTTTATCCCAGCAGCGACGGGAAAGGCGCAAAATTCAATAGGAAAGCATAATAGAGTCACGCCCGTAGCAAGTTCAAACAGAAGGGGTTATCCTAGGTCAAACATCTAGGAAAGGTTTAGGACTGTAGGGTCCGCATACTGTTACATTTTCCTTATATTATTAAATGATCACTATTTATTGATTATGTTTATTTCAAAACATAAATAATAATCCACCTTCATAGTATTTTTTAATGTAGAAGACGTAACAGTGCCTTTTCCCAGTTTATTGTCAATCCTGTTTTATCTTTTTATGTTACGTGCTTTCTCAAATCCTTAATCAAGTCATCCATGTAATGGAATAATAGAGAACATCTGTGCTTGAGTTTGGAAGAGGTCCTCTTTGATCTTTTACCATAGATTCCAGAAGATTCCTGAATGCATATCAAATGTTTTTATCTTTTATATAATTTTTTTCTTGTAAATACGGTATGAGATACTATTTTTATCGAACAATAAACATCATCTCACTAAAAAATACTAATATTCACTTAAATAGCTACAACCCTCATGCAATATATACTTGCTTAAAGTTGTGAAACCGCTTGGATGTGGGAACTCCTTTGATTGACATCTGATGCTAATTACAAGCAGTTTGACCCTCATGGCTCTCATGTAATTTATTACTATATTTTTATTTCACATACGATGGTTAATTTTTATTTGGTACCTGTTTATTAACAAGACAAGGTAGAATGCAATAATTAAATCAATTTACTTTTAATAAGTTCTATTTTTATTTTTAAATAATAATTTATCCTTGCATAATTTCTTTTTTATCTATAAAACCCAATAGCTCTTAAAATATTTATGAATCAAGAGTTGTCAGTAGCGAATATTTTTTTTTCTGTGAGCTTCATGTGTATTAACAGGGTACGTCTTCGTAGGTACTTCATTCATTTTAAATACAGCTCTGATCGCTATAGATATTATATAAACCTAATGTAATACTCAATTTAAACCTAACGAAATGTTTAAATTAGTAATTGAATCGGTGAGTGCGGAAACCACTACAATAAAAAAAAAAATGCGAAAAATCGTTTTCAATGAAAAGAAGCTTTGAAAGGCAAGATGCGTTTTGAATGCAAGAACCACGTTAGTCGGTTGAGTAGTTCCCTAAATACGTGACGTCTTTTTCGGTCGTTGAGCGATGAAATGACATGAGTCAGTGACTGACGTAGTTTCTGCATCCATCGCTTGATCGCATCAACAGCAGAGTTGGGCATATTTATATTAAAAAATATAAATACGAATACCATTTATATTTATGGTACTTATAAATATAAATATAAATATAAATAATAACTTCAAAGTTTTTTATAATGAACTATTTACCTGGCCAACCAAAGCACATGATACAATCATCGAGAATGATATTTAAGAGCGTTTCATTTTGTTATATTCCTGTTTTATGATGACTTTGCAATACTGTTAATTTTTTCAACTTCATTTTTGATATAATATGAAGAAATGTAAATTTTTAAAATCGTAAAATAAATTAAATTAAAATTAATATAAATAAATTAAATTAAAATTGATATAAAATAAATTTTTAATTAAAAAATATATAAACTTTTATTGAATGGTTACTTTTTTCAGCTGTTTTCAGCTGTCAAAAACAGTTGAGTGCAGAAACAACAGAAGTTCGAATTTATGTTGAAATTAGTTAATTTCTACATGACAGCAACATAAATGTATGTTGTGACAGAGAAAAAAAAATATTTGAAAATTTGGAAGAGTTATTATGTTTTTTCTCTTTCCTGAAAAAATTGAAATCTGTGACTGAAGTGGTTTCTGCACTCACCGATTCAATTATTCCATAAACATTACCTATCATAAGATTATTTTAAGTTTCAGATTTTGTATTATTCAATACCTAGAAAAATGATACATAAAATAAGAATATATTAAATATCATATCTGGACCTTAGAGATAAACTACGTTGTTTATTTGGTCTCATAGCCAACTGGCCGAAGAATAATGATTGTAGAGTGATTTATATAAAAATGTCAATTACATCAGACTAGTTTACTGAAAAGTTGAATAAAGTGACTTATACGGTGGGCTTTGATATATTTATAACCGTAGCATAGGATAACTTTATCAAATAGCGAAATGTAAAAACTTAATTAATTAATTAAAATATTTTCAATAATTCTCGAAACTCTTCAAATCAGATATTAGGTTCACCACATTACAATCATATCAGCGAACATTCTGTAAATGAAAATCTTAGTGGAAAAACATGTCATGGAACATTTTCGGAAAGATATGAACTTTTGTCTAGAAGAATATTTTAAAGACTTTTTTCTGCCTAGACCATCAATTGTGGACGTTTTCGGAATTAAAATAAAGTTATCCATTTTTCTAAAGTTCAAATTTTCATAACATAACATGTTCTTTGGCTTAGCTTTTAAATTAACTACGACATTCCTAATACAATCCATTTAATTGTTTCTTTATGATCCCTAAAGGCTAACGCATTATTCGCTTGAGCGATAGAAATATTTGATATGTTTAGGAAGCTCCTTTATCGTGATACCTTTTTTTTTATTACCTTTGAGGCGGAGGCACAATGACCAGCCCATCGGGCGGGAGAGATAGGATCGAGGAGGGAACCAGTTACATGGAATTGCCTTGTTTTCACAGCTAATATTACTTAATGACCCTCATGGGAACATTGTTTGAACAAGTTTCGACAATACACCCATCATCTTCAGATTGCTAACGGTATGATTCCTTCCATCTCTTCCTGATGGTAGGCATTTCCTGTCTGCCGATCGCCGTTCGAAGAATTACCCTCTCTTCTACCGCTCTGATCGTGTAAGACCTCTAGATTCGGGCCGGCCTTCATTGTAATCCACCGGTACAATAACTATGAAAAGTTAAGAATGATTCATTGTACTATACTTAATTACTAATTCCTTTTCCACCTCTACCTTGTCTTAGACTATAAGGGGATTCCCCCGAGGCAGGGGAGAGGGCGGGGGATTAATGCCAGGTTTGAAAGTCTTCTGACAGCGGGACGCGAGCTCTTATTTTATATGTGTAAACTTCGGTTTGTCAATCATCTGTTTGCCAATCTATTTGCACTCGCGTTACTTCGACCACTACGGCCTCCCTTAATTATTAATTATAAAAGAGTTTGTCAATACTCATCTACATTATTTATCCTTCAAAAATATATTTTATGAATTTCTTTTCTAACAGAAATATTACATGAGTACAGAAAGAGAGAGAGAAAAAAACACACGCACATGCACCATTCTGCTAGCTTTGGTTGTTTGAACTCAGAAGACGTATATTTTTATTAAACGATCGGACTCGAAAATTGTAACGATCGCAATACTTTACTTGTTCAGGTTAGTAGAACATTACAGTTGGTTAGGCTAGATTAGTGTTGCCCAAAATCGGTCTTGGTCTTGCACTTCGCAAGACCAAGACCAAGGCCGCCTAACTGTTGCAAGGCCAAGACCAGGACTGATAAAAAAAATCGATTTTATAAATAAAAATAAGGCGAAATAGTTACTAATACTTGACAATCTTAGTTACTATTTGGAAATTATTGGTATAACCAATATTCTTTAACATTTAACTCCTCTAATTTTTCATTCGGGATTAGTTAGGTTTCTCCTGTCTAAAAAATGACATTAATATCTCTATAGTAATCAGCCAATAAGTAACTGCAAGACCGTTGCGAGACTCTTGCGCAAGACCAAGAACATGACCAAGATTGAGTTTGCAAGACCAAGACCCATCTCGGTCTCGCATTTGGGCAACACTAGGCTAGATAAAGGCCCACATTCAACTAATTGACGTCCCAACGTGGTAGTTAACATGTCAATGTTAATAACTGGCACTATCAGAAAAAATACTTTCAAGCACAGCCTGATTAGACGATAGTATTACTAAATCTGTAAATAATATGCTATAGAAGTTCTTGCTACTCAAGTAAATGTATTAATAAACAATACATTAATGTAGATTACAAAATAAAAAAAATGATACTTCGAAGCTGCTTTGCTATTTCTATTTATCTTTGTTTAATACTTCGTCGATCCTCTCCATAATAAAGTGGCTAATCTTGCCAACAAGTAGTGTAAGACGAGTCTTGGTCTTGCAAACTCAAACTTGGTCATGGTCTTGGTCTTGCGCAAGAGTCTCGCAACAGTCTTACAGTTACTTATTAGGTTATTACTGTAATTTATTATATAGGAGAAACCTAACTAAGCTGTAATGAAAAATTAGGGGAGTTAAATGCAAAAGTATATTGGTTATACCAATAATTAACATATAGTAACTAAGATTGTCAAGTATTAATAACTATTTTGTCTTGATTTTTATTTAAATAATCTATTTTTTTTACCAGTCCTGGTCTTGGTATTGCAACAGTTAGGGGACCTTGGTCTTGGTCTTGCATACTGCAAGACCAAGACCGATTTTGGGCAACACTATCAACAAGGAAACAAGTCTGATCTTAGAGAAACTAGAAATGTTTTTTCAAATAGTTTCTGGCCTACAACTTCACAGCCCTGTCTTTGCAAGTATGCAAATGCAAAATATCCAAGTCCAAAGTTATTAATAATAGTTATTTTGAATGGTCAGCCACAACATATATTAAAACCTATCCTTATATTACTGAGCGTAGATATAGTTTTTATTGTAATTTTATTAAATCCATTAATTTCTTTTTTCATTATTAAAATATTAATTTTTTTTTTTATTGCAGGTATTATGACTTCCTGTACTTATATCATAAAGTAGTAACTGTTGACATTTAACGATCAGTTGAGCATTGGTAAGTCAATTCCAATATATTTTCAACCCTAACGGATTAACAGCTCTGAACTAATCACTTTAATTACTCTTCCTGGGAGGTTGATATTCTATTGTTCTCATTGCACGCCCGTTTTCTTTTCCATTATCCTGTAATTAACCTTAAAATTTAAAACAGGTTCTTTCCCCCAGCCTATTTCACGATTAGAGAATGTCTGCCTAAGTCACAGCACCGAAGATAATGACTGTAGAACCTAGAGGGATTTCTGTAAGGAGTAGGTCCTTTAGGTTTGTAACTACGAGACGAAAATATTAAATGGGCCTTTTCCAGGGGGTGGTTTCCTTCAACATTCGTATTATTTCTACTAGTACCAACCAATCACTACCACAGTTTTCAATTCTTAATGACAGATCTTAAGAGATTGGTTGCAATTTTTGAAGTTAATTGGGTGATTAAAGCGAAAAGAGGTGTAATACTCCCAGTCCGAGGACGTTCCGTAAATAGATACTACTTTTCTGGAAAAGTTTTTCCATCAAAAGAACCCATTTCTCCAATGGGTATGTTGGATATCTTAACCATACCTCCCCATGATGAAACTGCCTATGTCCGTAGCATTAGTTAAATAATGGTTTCAAATAGCAACCAATTTACGGCAACAATTTCGTTTTCAATTTTCAGTTTGTCTAATGCCCCTATTAGGTAACACTAAACATTAATTATATTTCTGATTATTCATCTTTAAATATTTTGTAGTTATTTCATTCAGAATCCTAATATAATAGAATTTGACATCGTTAGTAGGATGTTTGAAACTTATTTCTTAAAGACTTTGGTTGATAAATAGTAAATCTGTTTCATTTCTTAGATTAGCTGTTTCGGTAGTGCTTGGGTAAATTATTTAAATAATATATAACATGATTGTTTTTTTATTATTTGAATGAATTTTGGCCAATGATCATCAAAATATTCCTTTTCTTTACTATCCTTTCGTTGCCGAAGTTCCAGTTTCATGAGTCATTTTCAAGTTTGAACTGTAAAAATTATAATTAGTCCCAGCTCGTTAAGATATTTCAATCTTAACACATTACCATAATTATTATATGATTTATAAAATGAATTTCGGTATGCAATATAACTCGAAATATTTTATTTTAATTCTCATTATATTTAATTACCTGATATGCACCTTCTTTATATATTTTTATCATTTTTAAACAAAAGCGTCATCAGATATTTTCGTTTATATTACTAACATTATTTATAACTTTTACTATAATGATAAATTTATTTTTAAAAATAATATACTTTTTTTATAAATGTGTAAATATAAATAAATATGTACCGAATTGTTAAAGTAATAATTTTTTAACTGGATTGTAATAAACATTAAGTTTAACTGTATTATTATAAAAATATATTATTACTTGACAGAAAAGAAAAAGAATTTTTTGGTGAAGCTTCACCAAAAATCATTAAAAGAATAAACAGTTAAATAACACTAAACATAAGACAGAAATTACTTGAAAATTAGTATAATTATTTATGTTGGCAAATCAGATTGTATAGATAAGCATGAAAACACTTATCTTAAATAGTGGCTAGTGTTGCCCAAAATCTTTCACTTTGCAAGACCAAGACCAAAACTAGTAAAAAAAATCGTTTTTTTTTTTAAATAAAAATTAAGGCAAAATAGTTACTTATACTTATATTTATACTTATACAGTAAGAATGCAAAGAATTGGTATAACCAGTATACTTTTGTATTTAACTCTTCTACTTTTTTATTCGGGCTTAGTTAGGTTTCTCCTATCTAAAAAAATACAGTAATATCTCTGTAGTAATAAAATAATAGATAACTGCAAGACTGTTGCGAGACTCTTGCTCAAGACAAAGACCGACTCGTCTTGATCTCGCATTTGGGCAACACTAATAGTGGCATATGATGGACCAGTTGCGGATCTAGGAATTCATTTTTTATTTTTCATATTACTTATTTTTATTAATAACGGTAATAAAAAAAAAATAAATATGTCCTAGTCACATAGATTATCACAAATATTTCAGTAGACTTCAAGAATCCAAGAAGCAGCCTTTCCTCGATTTTAACGTCGCATTCTTAGCGGAATATTTGCCTCAGTTTCAATATTAAACAGGAATAGCGAATGCGACCGAACGAGGAGCTGAAGAAACTATATCGAGATGCCCATGTTCTGAGGGTGATAAAGAATGGCTGATTAAGATGGTTTGGACACGTTCGCCAGAAGCCGAAATTAAAGAAGGCGAATAGGCAGACCAAAACTTAGATGGACTGATAGAGTAGTAGCAGACACCCAAGCTATCTTTGGTGTCCACGATTGAAAGGCGGTGGCATGGCTAAGGGATTACTGGCGGTTGGATTTCCAAGAAGTCGTGTCAAACATGAGTTTGGAAGTAGAAGAATTTCAATATCATTATTTCATACAATTTTATTTAATTAATTTCATTATTTCAATATCATTATTTAACCATTTTCTTAGTTAGTTTACTAATTCATTATAATTTAGGTCGACGGAACTGAGTAAAACGCAATACTCCTAAAGGTTTTGAACATAGGTTACTGATTCGTAGCTTCTATTGAAGTCGTTAATAGGTGTAACTGTTGGAACAGGTAGTTGTGGAATTGTGGAACGGGACAGACGGAGACAAATTGGCCCCCCGGCATGCTCCGGCAATATAAACGGCCCGAGAGCGATAGTATCGTAACATCTTGAGGAAATCGGCTCTGGAAGGGCACAATGTCCTGTTAATGAAATTAGATAAGCCGCCGGGGGAGCTCTTGAATATGCAACAGCTCGTGTGCTCTTGTCCTCTCCTCTCTTCTCCTTATCGCCGCTAACGGGGGCATATGGCAGCCTTGGACCTCACGGCTCGAATGTACCCTCTCCGCCTCATCTCTTATTTTGAAAATATAAATCGCTAAAAAAAGGTTTAAAAAAAGAGTATTCATGGGAGGAGGCACTTAGCAGAAAGGGACCAAACCACAAAATATGCAAAAATGAATTAAAAGTGTCTTTGAAGTAGACTTGCGCTTACAATTT